TTCATTTACTGCATTATGTTTTACTGAAACTTATTTTAATTCAACCAAGACCAATTTTGCATTTTACAATATACCTGGTTATAAACTATTACACGTTTCGAGATCCGAGAGATCAGGGGGTGGTGTCGCCATATACCTAGACCAGAGGCTTCAATATGTCCTTCGTAATGACCTCAGTTGTATTATTTCTTCTGATTCCGAATCCCTTTTTATTGAAATTAATGCAAAACCTAAAAACTTTATCCTAGGTGTAATCTACCGTCTACCTCAGCTTCCCTTAGGTCTGTCTCTTATACACATCTAGATGTGTATAAGAGACAGGTATTATGATTAAACAATTAAGCTTTCCTTTGGGCTTAGGGCCTCATATGATTCTGACGTTATGAATGAAATTAAGTTAAAAATGCTTAGGTCTACTTCACTGACCGGTTACTCTTATCTATATAGGTAGCGGAAAATGGCTGCAGTGTAAAACATAGGCAAGGCCTGCAAAACCATAATCCTACGATTCTAATACAATGACAATACAACTCATATAACTTTAAACAATATCATTAGTAAACTCACAATTCACTGAACTCCCTTGGGTATCAAACCGGCATCTGAATCTTCTTAAATAGTGAAAATAGCTAAAAGAATACCCTACACATTACAATGATATCCCTTCTCATGGATGGTAATGGTGAAGTGAAACATAATCTCAAATGGGACGTCCCTGGATGTTACCCGCAACCCATATAAAAATTGCTAGTAGGCAGCACATGCTACATCCATCTAAATGAAAGCTCTAATGTGATTGTTGTTATTTGTAAATAAACCAGTATTTGTTTACCTTTTCAGGACATTTCACATACACATTACACACATATTAATCACATTATACTATTTCAAACTATATGATGTTATTTGATCATTTAATAGAAAGCTAAATATTTTTTTTTTTTAAAGTTTTAATTACATTCCTACTGATTTCATATTACTGTATAAATGAATTGTATTTGCATTGCAAATTATTGCTATAAATTAGTTCTTATTCTACTGTAATTTGTCTCTTATACACA